TTTATTTTATATTAAGAAAGTATCATCTTTCCTTGCTCTAGCCACTTCATTCTCACTCAAAAATTTGTTTGATATTCCAGTTGTTTATTTATGGAAATAAAACGGATCATGTGAGATGTAAGGTGATCGCTTACGTTCTATAAATAGTGACATGTAGCCACATCACAGTAAGTCTGCAAAATAATAGGCAGCAGGAACGATATTGTCGATTTACAAATGGGTATGATAATGAGTTTCTATCGGGCAAAAGCATTGTTATTTCACCGACTACTGTAATAATCCATATCAAAGTTTATTAATAATGACAATCGAATGTTACTGCTAGTTTCAACCTAAATGGCACCTTATACAACACATGACCTAAGCGGTCAGATCAAATATCACAAGGTTCAGACATAGTCATCCCTAATTTAGAACTGCTACCCAGAAGTAGGGCAACCAGTCAGCAGCACCTGCTGAATCGCGGGATGGACAGTTAGTTTTATAATGTACTCACTGCTGAAAGGATGAGAAAAAGGCTGGTTAAACATCCTCAATAAATGCAACAACAGTCATGTTTTGTGTTAACTAATCGAATTAAAAGAACATTAGTAAACTGTTAAACGGCAGTTAATAACCATCTCGATTCCAACAAGAATACAAACTGTGAACCATGACTAACTGATTGAAAGTATATGATATAGCCTTGTGAGTCTCGTGAGTATATTTTTCTGTGTACTGACAGTAGTACTTGTTGTGTTTTACCGGAAGTGTATAAGATGAAATGATATGAGGAACATGCTCGCGACAGGGGTTGGTTCTTAAGACACCTTTTACAAAAGCAACTAACATCTACAATATATCTGCACATTGCTACAGTTCGTGTTCACGCTTCAAACGCGCATCTCTGTGCATTTTCATGGACAAAAGCTCTTCCAAGACAATAGTGAAACTATTCACCAAACTTGTGTTCTACAAAATTGGTTCGAAGATCATGGAAGAGACTTTGACCATCTTTCTTGGCCAGCGTAAACACTTATGGGATAAACTTCAACATTCCAGTTGCCATAGTAAACTTCCATTGCCGTCTGTAAATCTACTGTAGATCCTATTCCTCGACAAATAAAGGATTAACATTAAACAAGACACCTTTCTGTTGAGTCCATTTCATGCTGATTTTATACTACTAACGCTGCTTATTGTGATCCAACGCGATTAAGTGAGGTTATCGTTAACTTTATTAAGTTGTGAATAATTAATGTTTATTTCAGACAGGTTTGCTTTAAAATTTTGGATGATAGGGGAGAAAAGTTTGATAATCGAGAATTTAAGGCATTAATATATTTCAGTTATGAACCAGAGATACCTTAGACAGCAGCAGTATAAAAAAAACAACAAGCTTATTCAAATTAATAAGATATAGTTAGCAATTTCATAATATCTGTCTGTCCTAAATAATGTCATAAGCGTCACAATTTACCCCAAATTCATATCACTTATGAAATGCATCTGTCTTACAGGAATTACAGTTTTGAACCTGATCGACACCTTATATTCATTTGAGCTTAACAGTCAAGTCAGACACCTCCAGGATTCAGACATAGCCGTTTCTAATTCTGAGCTACAAATGAACGTCAGCCAGACAGCAGAACAGCTCACCTCACAGAATTTGTCTTGTATTTGAACCGATTAATGGAATTGAATGTTACTTTGTAATGAGCCCACAGCTGAAAGTATTCATCGTCATCATATTTTAAACCTTGGAGCGTCCAATCTGCAGCTAAACATTGAACTGTGGGCCACGCCCAGCCCCTGTTTCACATACATGAACAAACTAAATGTAATACACATGAAGTTCTCCAGTTTAATTAAATGCAAGTGAAAGACAACAAGAATGAAAACATTCGCTTTGAAACATTCATACATGACAAACTAAATAAGTTTGCACAAGTTTCATCAACTCACCACATATGATGTAACACAGGCCATCCGCTTTTCCAATGACAAACATTTACTTCCTAGTGATATAGGAAAGTCAATAAAATTGTGTAGTTCATTTTCATAAAGATTCACTTCAAACTGTCCCCGAATCGTGGGAGCTATAGGACACGATAAAATAACTCAATTCACTCCCAACACCCCATCGACGGGGAAACCACCCAGCGCCAATCCGTTATTGTTAATCGCTGTAGGTAGCTGGGTGATATTTTCTGCTCACACATCCTTATCTTCCCAGTTAACTTTCTCTCCCATTGCTCTCAACGAGGAAAGAGCGAGAACCGTTCTATGGGTTGGATTAATTTCACTATCATTGTATCTACAGTACTGTTCCAGAGTAATTTATCATTGTCGACGTACAAATTCAACACTTGACGTCTGTGTGATTTAGCTGCGTTAATCACTGACAGTGGAAATCTAAGTCATTTCAATATGTGAAAAGTATCTACGGGAGTTTTATAAACTAAAGACATAAAATACTGAATGAATATTTCATATAAAAGAAAAGGAAAAAGCCCATACAAACATTAAGTTATGTTGTTTGAAAAGTACAAAAAAAAAGTGAATGGAAAGATTTGATTTGTAAAAAATAAACAACAAAAACATTCAAAAGTATATTTCGCTGTGAGTCACAGCTTGAAAAATGTACGCGCGTTGGAGGAATTCACATAAAAAGTTAACTAAATTGTTTCCATTGCTTTTGTTATTTTTCCTAGTAACACACACAACAATCTGTATGAAAACCCTTCTTTTAAAAGTGGGACGATCAAAATGCACAAGCTGAATTTAGCAACCGTAGAGGGTCAAGAGCTTGTTATAATAACTTGTAAGCGAGTTTTATATGTAGTTCTTGTAAACACCAGGCAACTTGCGTAGAACCGCACATTGGTTCGGTAAAAACCAAGAGCAAGTGACGAATGGCCGAAAGTCCTTGTAAACGTGATATCGCGCTGATGAACGACCTGGCCCTAAAACCGGTAAGGCTGCCTGCCGTTAGAAGTTTTCTCAGTTCAAATCAGCTAGTTATCAGCATGCACGCGTTTCTTTGCCACCCCCCTGGTCCTCATCTTCATATCACCGCACACTTCTCAGTAACACGCTTTGGCCCACAGGTCGCGTAGACGCGCTTGTGAGCACGTATTATACCTTGCTGCCCTTTTTTCTTTCGATGTTTTACTCTTAAAAAATATACAACGTTTTTCATTTGTCAAAAGTTAGTCATGAGGTTTTGTTTTCATCCGCTATTTTAATTAAAAATAGTGAGAAACACTATTTGTGCCACTAGTTTTTACTTTTACCAGTGTTCTCTGTTATGAATACTTGAACAATTCTTAATGTTGGTTTAACCACAAGCAAAATTTATTTCAGTCTAAGAGGTCTAAGAGTAAAGGCTTGTTTAGACATATGACTTTTTCTTTTCTTCTTTTTTTAAATTTCAACCTACTTTAAGAATTTTCCACTTCCCAAGTAGAGACGGTTCCTAATACCCCAACATGAAAAGTATTGATTTACGTTATGACAAAACACCCTGGTCAAACCATGCTTTTTATAGAATATTGTCATAACGTATCGAAACATTCGTTTCTGTGGAAAGGCGTAAAATTTATAATCTGACAACGTGCTACTATCAGAGTACTACTGTTTCGAATTTCATGCTATATAAGACTAAACCTAACCTGACAACGTTTGTTTGTTTGTTTTTGAATTTCGCGCAAAGCTACACAAGGGCTATCTGCGCTAGCCGTCCCTAATTCAGTAGTGTAAGACTAAAGGGAAGGCAACTAGTCATCACCACCAACTCTTGGGCTACTCTTTTACCAACGAAGAGTGGGATTGACCGTCACATTATAACGCCCCCACGGCTGAAAAGGCGAGCATGTTTGGTGGGACGGGGATTCGAACACGCGACCTTCAGATTGCGAGTCGAGCGCAATAACCACCTGGCCATGCCGGGCCACCTGATAACGTAATAATAATAACAGTACCAGTACTAACGACTCCAGTTTCTTTCAGCCAATCTGAAAAACTGGTTATCAGCCATTTACATTAGGGTACCATGACATAATAAAATAATATTTCGAAATTAAATACAAGAAAATACATTATAACGGGAGTAAACATTACACGATCAACAACAGGCTATAAGCTTTGGTGGTTTCTTACCGTTTCACTGTAGGATAAATATATTTACAATTTAAGCTTTCTTTTCATTGGTTTCACCTTAGTGTTAAGGGCAGGAAGAAAATTCGAATATTAATATACCAATGTGCAGTTGCTGCTGAAATGATGAAGTTCTGTATTTAACTTCTACAGTTTATATCATTAAGGTATAGTGCCTACCTAGGCTGATATTTTTTGCCACCCCCACCTCCACACGATCGCTCCAGAAATGAAGCCTTTGAATTAGTTAAGTCATTAATCACGTGTTCAGTCACATGATCGCTCAGCGCTCTTGATTGGTACCTCGATCTAGTACGGCGGGTTGCAACCCCCCCTCCCAAATAAAAACATGATTCATGCGTAAATGCGGCCCTGACTTTCACTGATATTTACAAACGCGAGAAGGCCTACTGCATTTCAAGACAATTCTGGTTAATATCCCGTGTATTATCATGATTATGATTTACATATGGACTTAATCTCAATTAATTGAAATAAAACAGTAAAATAAAATCGACATTATGAGTCGATATAATACAAAAATATATGTTTTAATACTTTGTAAAATATTCACATTAAACGATACCTGATATTTTTTATTCGTGAATTTATTTAAATTGATTAAAAAATTAAAAAGCATTAAACATTTATTCTCACCTGGAGGACATAAGCAATCACCTGCTGCCACTTCTCGTTTGAATCGTCCTAGTAGAGGTACTACTGCTAGATGGCGCTCAACACGCTGGAGATACACACAAAAATTGAAGTAAATACAAAATACGGAATTATGAAATTAGTAACGCAATATATTAGATACATATACAGGGTGTCAGAAAAATCGGGAACCATAGGCACTCCGACTAATTTACAGAATGTGTCCCACATGCTGTCCATGTAATTCGAAACAAGTTTGGATTAAGTAGACAAATCTCATCCTTTGACAGCGACATAATCAGTCACATATATGAAATTAAGAAAAGCAGTCAATCACTTATAGTTTTGTTTGTTTTTGTTTGGTTTTTCTAGATCAAAGCCAGATTGGGCTATCTGCTGTGTCCCCCAGATTTTAGCGTTGTAATTTTGTAGATCCCCTATAGTTTACTGACTTTCCAGACACCTTGTAGAGAAAAATTAATTTCATATGTAAATCATATTTGTATCAAATGCGTTACTTTAATATTAGATACATCAAGATACAGGTATAAAACTATATACATAAGTAAAAATAAAACAAATTCAAAGTTAAAATATTAAACTTTTTTGAATATATATGGTGGGACAAAAGTTACAATTCGGTCGATATTGTTAGTATTATATGGTTGGTACTAAAGAAAACATTACGAAGAGAAATGAAATCAAGTTAAATAACGTTTATTACAGAGCAAGACGTTAGAAATTAATCCAAGTGTTTGTATTCACAATGCTACACAATGGACTATCTGTGCTATGTCAACCACACGTATCGAATCCCGAATTTAACGTTGAGCCAATAGGGTCGTTCTAAACGAAACAAATGTACAGTAACTTTTGCCTCACCTTGTAGAAAACTGTGTGGCCAATGTTAACACTCAGATCTTGATGATTGATAATTTGTTTCACTATAAATTATTCTTAATGCTATTTATTAGGTATGTTTCATACAAAGAATCCACACCTTATTAAGATTCGATGACGAGGAACCCACTCATTACCCATTCAAGCCGTCTCCAACCTTATTAAGATTCGATGACGAGGAACCCACTCATTACCCATTCAAGCCGTCTCCAACCTTATTAAGATTCGATGACGAGGAACCCACTCATTACCCATTCAAGCCGTCTCCAACCTTATTAAGATGTATTTTTCGAACGACGCAATTACGGACCAAAATTCATAGTTTCATTTACAACTGTCCCCCTCAGAAAACCCTACGCACTACACAGTTTATACACTATTAAAGCACTAGATTATGCTGATTATCTGTTAACTATTAATTTACTAGATTATTTGTTATTTAAGCAAATCCCGCGCAGTATACTGTTTACATGGTGTTAAACTACTAGATTATCTATTATATAAGCAAATCCCGCGCAGTATACTGTTTACATGGTGTTAAACTACTATATTATTTATTATATAAGCAAATCCCGCGCAGTATACTGTTTACATGGTGTTAAACTACTAGATTATCTATTATATAAGCAAATCCCATGCAGTATACTGTTTACATGGTGTTAAACTACTAGATTATCTATTATATAAGCAAATCCCATGCAGTATCCTGTTTACATGGTGTTAAACTACTAGATTATCTGTTATATAAGCAAATCACATGCAGTATACTGTTTACATGGTGTTAAACTACTAGATTATCTGTTATATAAGCAAATCACATGCAGTATCCTGTTTACATAGTGTTAAACTACTAGATTATCTGTTATATAAACAAATCCCATGCAGTATACTGTTTACATGGTGTTAAACTACTAGATTATCTGTTATATAAGCAAATCCCATGCAGTATCCTGTTTACATAGTGTTAAACTACTAGATTATCTGTTTTCTAATTAAATACTTTGTGGTATTCCAAGATTATACACTATCTAAGCAAATCCTGTGCTGTTCACAATGTAAATACTGTTAAAAATATTACATTATCGGCTTTTGTAAAGTTAAATGATTAAGAAATGCAAAAGTGGAAGAGCTTTTTTTTGCATATAGTCGCGAAAAGCTACACAAGAGCTATCTGCGCATAACCGCCCCTAATTTTGAACTAATAAGCTAGGGGAAAGCAGCCTGTAAACAGCATCTACCGCCGAAACTTTGGATGCTGTTATCTGACCGAATAATCGGATTTGATCGTAACTCTTAATAGCCCACGGTCCCAAAATATGGAGCATGGTTTTTGCAGTAACAGAACGCGAACCATGAACCTAATCACTAGACACGTCCGGCCTAAGTGGAAGAGACTAGTGCAGAAAGTACATCATTAATACAAAATAGAAAGGAGGAATCCCTTGTTTAAGAGAAGACACATCAATTTTTTCTGAATACTGATGTTTGCTACAGGCATTTGCAGGTTACTATTCTGTACCGTCAACTATTGTGTTGACTCTTTAAGCCTGAATTCTCCATTCTCTCCCACTTCGTTACTGTGGTTTCTCGCTCCCTAGAACGTCAGTGAATCGTACTTAACAATGTTCTTTGGCAGCTTCAAAGGAAAACGATGTTTGTATTCTTCGGTTTAGTTGAATAGTCTGGTTTTTCGCTATTTTACAGGAGAAAAGGTGTAACCAGAACAATATTTATTGTATTCAAACTTACGAATTTTAAAAATAAGCTCTGGAGGAAAAATAAATCACGCCCAAAGAATGGTTATATAAGTATATAAAATAGAATGTTCTGTTCAATGAGTTATGGGGAAAATATCGAGTCCTCTATATGGATTGAGTTATAGCTAAAAACTAAGAGAAGAAAAGGATGAGACAATACTTATAAACAACGAATGGAGGAATAATAATAATGAAAAATACAAGATTTGTATTAAAGATATTCCTTTAGTTCGAGTAATCTAAATTCTTTATTATAAGAAAGTTACTTACATTTTAGTATATGATAACGTACTTAAATTATATATATATGGTAACGTTACTTACATATCAATATATGCGCATCAGAAATCATATAAAACCCAAAGACGTTCTTCCATTCAACAAAATTTATAAGAAAGTTACTTACATTTTAGTATATGATAACGTACTTAACTTTTATATATGGTAACGTTACTTACATATCAATATATGCGCATCAGAAATCATATAAAACCCAAAGACGTTCTTCCATTCAACAAAATTTGAAGTGTTTTAACAAAAATATGGTCTAAAACTTAAATGTAGAATACATGTAAAAACAAATCCGTTTCATCAGGAAGCAGCTCATGAATATCTTTAAGCTACCTTAAGAACAAGAAATGAAGGAAATGACGAGAAAATCATTAATATTATACACTCACTCCTATTTACTAACCTGCCATCGCCCGGGCTGACGTCTGAAGTATCATTTTCAAGTGGGAAGTTTTATGGAAAAGATTATGGCATATTAATATTTCATTAAGTTAAAGTTAATGGCAAGTTAGAAAAGGAAATATTTGAGTTCTCATTAAAACTCCGAAATTTCAGTATATGCTAAATGTTTCTTAAGCAGTCTTTGAAACGATATCGCTAGCTTGTTTTTACTTTAAGCTTGAAGTTCAGATGTCAAACTGAACAAGGATGCACAGATATAGATCGACATATTTTGTTAACAATCTAAACAACTTTAAAGCAAAAACGGTTTCTTCATTCTGATAGCTAACATTTCAGTAACTCGAAATATGTATAGAGTCCAGTTTTATTTTAAAATGGCTTTGACTTTTGGTAAACGCGTGTGTGTGTGTTGTTTTTAAAATGTTCTGCTACTTGTATATATATATACATAATATTTCGTGTTGTTTCTTCAACGTAAGGCCCCGACATGGCCAGGTGGTTAGGGCGCTTGACTCCCAATCTGAGGGTCGCGGGTTCGAATCCCCGTCCCACCAAACATGCTCACCCTTTCAGCCGTGGGGGCGTTATAATGTGACGGTCAATCCCATTATTCGTTGGTAAAAGAGTAGCCCAAGAGTTGGCGGTGGGTGGTGATGACTAGCTGCCTTCCACTAGCTGTTCACATTGTTAAATTAGGGACGGCTAGCGCAGATAGCCCTCGTGTAGCTTTGCGCGAAATTCAAAACAAATAAACAATTTTTCAATGTAAATATACCAAATCCACAATGTCTCGAACATCATCTCTTTCATTATCAACTCTTGTTTTTTCTAGCTTTAATCAGTTCTCAGAAACATCTTTATTGATTATACTCTCGTTATCTTTCCCTGGAACTTACTCAAAAAGGCATTTTTTCCAAACCAATTTAACAAGTGAAATTCACCGACGTCAGTCGACTTTGCCGCATTATATGTACGTCGCTCTTATTAGCGCACCCTATTAAAATTCTAAGAACTTTTTAGTGAAGAAAATACAAATATGTTATGATAATAAGCATTAAGAAGTACTCCATATAACACAACGAGTAACAACACTTTTCACATGTCTTGATTTACATGTTTGTCTGTTATATTTGTGCATATAATGTTCGAAATGATAAACCCCACATGCTTTCTGTCAGTTTCAAACAACTTACAAAATATTCATACAAATTAAACATTTCCTTTTTATCGGAAGCTATGCTCTTAACCACAGTGCTTAAGTTAAGATAAACTTAGGCAAACTTACTTTGGAATAGAGGTAGGATTATGTTTTCGTAAATGATAGCTGCTTTATTATGTAAGAATAAGTTCAATAAAATTATGATACCAAGTACAGAGTTTAAAAATCAACAGATGGATTTTACTGTTCGTATGAGGTAGTATACATGCCATATAGTCATTATTAGTTCGATTGTTTATAATTTTCGCGCAAAGACATATTAGCGCTATATCTGCTTATATATAGCCATCTATAATTTTGAGCTGACAGACTAGAAGGAAGACAGTTAATCGACAATACCCACCGCCAGCCCTTGGGTTACTCTTGTCTGACAGAATAGTGTACACTCTATAGCGCGCTCATGCACACACCCCCCGTCACCACCACCAAGAAAAAAGAAATAAGTAACAAAGCCATAAACAGGTCAAAAAGGATGAAAAGTCCCCCTTCTTATTTAGTACGAAATATATTTTATACAGT